AGGGAAAGATTTTGAAAGATATATCAAAATGTCATGTTTTTCACACCTAATGATCCTAACACCGAGACACTCCAAAAACACTCCCCCAAGTAAAACATGTAAAATCCATTTGATCCTACTGGTATTTTGATGCCGACAGAAAACAGCATGCCTTTTGCTATACTGACTTGGTTGTATGCTGGCTGTCTCTCCTACTGGCTAAAATTTTTAGAGTAGTTTCCTGTGTATCAGAATTAAGGAGCCTGCTTTCCTACACATATGGACTTAAGGTTAAGTTTTTCATAGTGCACATTTCAGCTGGAAAAAAAACCCACATCACCAAACCATCAACAACTCCACGCCACCCTTCCCCACTGCTAGTGGAAGAATGACCAGCTTCCATGATTTACTGAGGCTGAGAAGGGAAAGAAAGTGTGATGAGAGATCAGCACACACAATACGACCACCTAAGCCTTGTTTCCCTAGGATAAAAAACAGGTTAAAACCCCACATTGTTGCAGGTTCAACATCTTTTTATGATCTGTATTTGACTAAACTCATTCACAAATGGGAAAAAAATAAACGAAAAGACATCCTAAAGTAATTCAAGGATCGGGAAGGTTATATCTCAAAAGGACACTAAAATCCACCATCAAAATCAAAAAGCTGAGGAAGGTTACTGAAGGTTACAGCGTTCTAGAGCACTCTGTCTCTACCATCTTAAATTGTTTTAAGATGAATCTTGTCCAGTAACAACAGTACTGTTTGTAACAGCCAGTGGTAAAGCTCCATGATCTAAGTGGTTTTCTTCTAGCTCAAAGCGAAGCAGAGCCAGAAGAGGAATCTAGAGTGCCACAGAAGTCATGACCAGTGAATCATTATTTACTTTTTCTTATAAACACAGGAATTAAAGGGCATCTTAGCAAATGATCAGCTTGAAATAAATAGACCTACACATATTCTGTGGAAAAACATTACCTGACTGCAAGATAACCTCCCTATCTAATTTTGAAGAGTAAGAACATTCAAAAAACCCCAACTGCATTCCTGAATGAGAAATCCAATCTAAGTTATTCAAACCAAATATGTTTATGTAACGTATTTAGAAGTCCTTGAACCAGTCACTACCAGAAACTGGAAGATTATACGAAGGGAAAGATATCACTTGCCATACTTACCCCTCTCCAAATACCTGCTGCTTACTAGGTACTACTAAATGTAGGATGAAGAACTTCAGATCTAATCTGGTTTGATAACATTGTGGTTTTCTGTATTTCTGCAGATAAGTGGGGGTTTTGTTATTTGTCTGTTTGCTTTTACCTCAACACAAAACCCAGTAATTTCTTGTGAGTACTTCTAGAGCACTCTGACCATGCAGAGCCAGCTATTCAAATACAGTCATGTTCAGACAAGCCTTCCTCGCTTTCTGTAGAAAAAGCAGGAAGGAGCGGGACAGAAGAGGGACATGCAAGGTCTAACAGGGGATATCCTGGGATATCCATAGCAAGGGATATGAAAAAGTAAAGCAGAAAAGGGACGGGAAAACTATAGAAGGCCAACAGCAATTCACGAAGATCACAGCTCTGCGAAGGCAGCTGACAAAGCAGCGAAGCTGAGGACAGAGTGCTCATTCCGAGGGGTGCTTCAGTAGGTCATTAAGAAGACTGGCAAAAGCAGTTTCAGTTAAGCATAAGGAAAATGTCTGTTTGAGGAATTCCAGCCAGGGGTTGTAAAATTGTGCTACATTAATTGTACCCAGAGATGAAAGAGACAAGAGAAAGTATTTTGAGATGTAAATGTTATCACAGTCAGCGCTGCAGATTTTCAATGATGGGAAAAGTTGGAGCAGATATCTTCCTTGGTGGGAAAAGGCAAAGTTTACTCACGTCTTCTCTTAAGAACTTTAGATTTCTTCTCAGCTGAATAAAACAGTGGCTTTTCACATCTCCACAGATACCTACCAGCAGTAAGGCACATAAGAACTATTAAAAAAAGAAAGCTGGAGCATACAAGAATAGTATTTTTTTACAAATAAAGAATAGTATTTTCTTACAAATACTGCTAGAGCTATTACATTTAAAAATCAAAATAATCTAACGGTTAGTGCTATTAAAAGCCACTGCCCCTCCAACACATCTAGGAAGTCTTTTTTCAGAGCAGGCAAACTGAGGTACGCAAACCTTTATTTGCTGTAATCAGTTAGTTGTTCACCTGTATAAGCTACTTGTCACAGAAAGTAAGCATTTAATTAACACGCTGGACAAACATTGTAAGCATAAATAGAAAATTAAGGTAGGGATTTAATCGCAAATTCCTAACCTTTCTAATTTCTGTGGGGGTCGGGATTTCATACAAAACTATCTACCTTAAAAAAGAAAAAGTACTTAAAAAACCTCTTACTTGGCTCTTTCTTCATCCAACTTCTTTTGTTCTACATCCAAGGAACACTTTATCACCTTGTACCACTTTTTGAACTCAAAATACGGACCACCTGAATAAAACACACATTTTAGGTTGGGAAGAAGTGAAAGAAACATGTCGTACACACAAGGTGGTCTCCACACAGTTAAACTCTATATCTTCTGCCTGCATACAAACCTATCCTGAATTCTGCGTTCTTAAAGAAAGCAGACTTGATCTAGCAATTCCGTAAGAAAGAGAAAGGCAGTGAAAGCACTGCATCTCGTAAGAAGTGCGAAGAAGCCCCTTAGCTTAGAATAGATTTCATAGATTTAGCACAATTCAGACCTTTTCCCACCTTTCTCAAAGTTACACCTAAAAACTACCTCCTCTCTACCAAATTAACTAGATCTCCACAGAGTGGAGTGTTCTCCGCTTGTTTGAAAGTTGCCTTCAAGGGATTAACGAAACTATACATCAATCTTAGGTTTAAACAAGTAAGACCTAAACAAGCTCAGATGTAAAATTCCAAACAGTTTCATCAGCTCCCCACTGTCTATCCTACTAGCCATGACCCCTTAGAGGGCTGGAAAGATAAACTAGACAATTGTGTTCCCTTTGTATTGGCCTCCCACGTTTTTTGAGCACAGGAACGTTACTCATCGATACGTGAACAAATATTTACCATCACGTGCAGAAACACAAATGGCTTTCTAGCAGCACACTCCTCCAAACAGAGCATGGATGCTCCAAAGAGGCACAGAACTGAAGGAGACCAACTGGGTACAGTAAGTATAAGAATTCCAAATAGAACTATGGTGCAGATTTATATATTTAAAATATAATCAGCTCTTATTATCCGGGGGTGGATTATCTGCATTGGGAATTAACCAGGCTTTGCATTTCCCCATCAGCCCAGCTGCACTGCATGCGATGCTTGCATCATGTTTCGCTTTGCCAGCTCTTTTGGAAGTGAATATACCATTCTTATAATCAAGCTTATATACATTTTGTATTATCTGCTTTTTTGCTATTTGGATTATCCTGTAGTAGAACGGCTTAGATGCCAGAAATAGAGATGGACTCAAAAAGCAACAGACAAATGAAGAAAGACCCTTTGAGTAGTTCTTAAAATTCACAGGTGTGGTACAACTTCTTTTATGAACTCCTTAAACACAGAGGTTTAAGTAAGTACTCCTAAATTGCTGGGAGGGCAGTTTGGAGGGTGTGTGGAAATTTTTATTAAACTTCATGTGAATTATTAAGCATCCTTCACAAGTAAAACCATTGTCAGAGACATGATGCTACACTATAATAACCGTTTACCTGGCCAGTACTGCTAGTCTGATGTTCATAGAGCTTAGCTGACTGGAAAATACACAGCTCTGTGACACACACTTACATATATATATCTCAATCACATGTTTTATTTGAACATAAACCATACTGTGTATGTATGCAGTCCACAGCACACACACCATCGCACGAGGTAACTACAACTATCTACTGTACAGCTTCCAGCCTGTCTCAAAAAGGAGGAGCTGAAATACTATTTTTTTAATTAAAAAAACCCAAACAAACCAGCGAAAGGATAGTTAAGTTGAGAATGGAGTCAAAATAAATTGGGTCTTTAAAACTCAGTATTACACTACTCATTTCAGCACTCTAACTTTGGGAAAATGCCAGAGGCGGTTTTGAGCTCTGGCACTAATCAGTGCTCTGACACAAGTTCTCACATCAGCTCCTCTGAGCAGCTGCTCACCGCCACCCCAACATTTTAAGGTTATGGACAACATAACAGAGAATATGGCTCACTTTGCACCAGCAGATTTGAAAGTAAAAAAGTGGGCAAAGAATGAGCTGTTCATTTTCAAGGACAATGAGACTTGCTTATAAGGGAGAAACCCCACTAATGGCTTTGAGCCTTAGCTCGTAAGCAGTTGCATAACTTCTACTCGTCCCTACTATGTACTTCCAAGTTTTCAAGGGAAATTGCAAAAAGAAAGGAAAAAAAAAGATCCAAAATAAGTTTGTGTATCCACTTCAAAATGAGAATTACCAGTTTTAGTTAACAGTGATGACTATCTCTAGGTACAGCCGTCATTGTGCTCAGGCATGGCTAACACTGATTTTATTAGTGACTTAAATTTTGAAAAAGTAACTGAAGGGTCAAAAAATGGACACAAAACTGAATGGAAGGCTTAAAAAATAAACCACTGTAACACCACATCTTGGATCTTATCTTCAACTGTAATCTGAATCAGGCCATGGAACATCTTCCTGAAGATTTCTGATCTTTTATTTGGTCTTTCTGCCCTCCAAGAACCACGTTCACACCGTTATCTTCTCTATCTTAATTGCTGCTAGCTTTTCCACACTCTCTCAAGATTATTTGGACTAAGAAAATAGATTACATCTGAAATATGTTACACACTAAGACATTTTATGTAACAAGACTGAACAAGTTTGGATTTTATCATAAACGTGGTTTGATGCCCCTAATAAGTATCTGCCATTTACGATCAAAGTGCTCTCCCCTCTTTACTGTGTAACCATTCACCTTCACCTAGTATGCATAAAATTCTAAAACAAGAGGAGAACATGAGCAAGGAGAAGCAGAAAGGTACCCAGCAAAATGTGCACCAAATTCTCCTATCCTGTACAGTAAGAATTATGCAGGTAAACTGAGATGGTTTTATGAGAACGGGATCTACTGTTTACTTTGAATAAAGATTTTCCCTAAAAGAATAAATGGCAAAAACATAATGATCAATGAGATAAGTCTTTCTAAGCCCAACTACAAAGTTATTTCATTTACAAAATCATAAGACTGCTTCTACCAGAATACTTATGTACCTTCTTTGTTATTTTTATTTCTTTCTTCAGCAAAATCTGAAAGTAACCTGGAAAAAAAAAATAAAAATCAGGCTATTTTGCAGATGCAAATACTCCTCTTTTCACATAAAATATTGCACCTCAATTTTATTCCAAGTTTCAGATTCAAACTGATTATTTTTAAAAATAAGTACTATTTAACGTCTAAAATGCCTTCAGGTGTATGTTTGAACTTTTATTAAGTTCAGTAGCATCAAACACCATAAATTTAATATTACTAAGGAAATAATGATCCAAGACAATAATCTGCACTATTTGAACTTTGCGCTTTGTTACAGAATTGCCTGTACACTTACCATTCATAGTGATCATCTAATAAAAACAGTAATTTGAGCACAACTACAATAAGCGCCACAGCAAGAACATCATATTTCACTTTTCTCGTTGACTTATTTCCAGGCACAAGAGTCAGGAAATCTGCTTCTCCAATACAGATCTTTTTCACCACTCGACAAGTCCAGTTATGCAAGTCATCTGATTAATGTAAAGAAAAATATCAAATGAGTATGTTGAAACAAGCTAGAAGTACTTTTACAGGGCAGATGTGTTGGTCATTTGAAGAAAACAATGCTTAGGTCTTTTGGGATCCTCAGCTGGCAATTTTTTTTCAGGGTGAGAAGTACTGTTAGGTATTTTTAAAAATACCAGGCAATCTTCACTGTGCTTACATGGAAAACAGTCATGACTTATTTTATATTCACATGGAGAAAAAAAAAGTATTTGTAATGCTATTTTGATATTACTTGAATGATACTGTTAGGTCATCCTGAACATTGTTGTGGGAAAGCCTATCTTAAATCTACATAAATATAGGTTGAAAAAAACCCCAAACACAAAAGTCAAAAACTCGTCACAATCTTCTCCCTGCACGTTAACTAAACCTCCATGGACGGATGAAGTGCTGCCAAGGGAACAGGGACTAGTTTTAAAGAGGCTGGTTGGATATGAAGAGCAGCCTCATCACAGCAGGAGAGCACTTGCTGCCACCCCGACAAAACCTGGCTGAGGTACAGAAACGCAGCCCGGGTTAAAACTAAATTGCACCCACCAGCACCACTTGTGTCAGAAAAGATACAAGTGCAGCTCCAAAAGCAGCAGCAGGGTACCTGTACAGTCTGTGATTACTCTGGGCTTATTTTTCAGAGATACAAATCCCCCAAATTTCTCACCTTTCCTGTCCAGCAAGAAATACAGGCGCTGATTACATCACCATCAGATTCCACAAAGGTTAGCAATGTATGACTAAGTACAACCTTAATCCAGCTATGCTTTATGCCCTTCTTGCTGCTTACAAAGAGTTCAGTAGGAACTCATTTTTAATCCTCTCGTACATAACAGTAAAAGTTAAACAAAATCTGGAAACCCAGTTTTCTTATAAACACTGGCAGTATATTTCCTCTTACTTCAGATACTTAAAATGGTCTTTTCGTTAGTATTCATGTCCTAAGAAACTGTCCATTCATTGCTTAATTTACTCCTTTAGGAGTTGTTAAATGACAACAGTGTTCCTTTTTCAATTTGTAAGAACACTTTGTTGCAAGGAAAAAAGTAAAGGACAATATATTCTTCTACAGTAATTTTCAGAGAGTATTATATTTCGATTTTTAAAGCGTATTGTATTTCTTAGTAATGAATCTTAAAATGCCAAGTTTCAATTTTTTTCTTCCATTCAACTGATAATTCAAGATCTGGAAAATAATGTGAACCTCTCCATAGGATTACAACAGTGGTCTAAAACTACAAAATCAGAATTTCTACTCTGGAATTTTAGCCCTAAATCTGCTGGCTATCTTATCTTCATTCAACTGTGAGCAAACAGAAAAGCCAAGTAGCTTTATTCGATGTAACTAATTGCAAAATAAGATAATAAACTCCCCCAAGTTGAAGGTTTTACTGGTCTTTCTTTGGTAATTCAATACTTAATTTTAGATAGACAAAAGTATTCAATATTTATGCAATATACAACTTCCAGACTAAATCAGAAATCAGATGAGACAGCTGCTGGTTTGTCAAACGGCACTGCTTGCTAATATTAAAATTAATGCTAATATGCAGTATTGTAGAAGATACAGTCAATATTATATACGAGACCATTCCAGTGCTAAGTAATCAGGAGCTGACTTCATGAACCATTTAGCTAAAGTTAATAAATCACACAGATTCAACTAGTGCCTCTTAGTTCACATGGATACTGAAAGATTTGAAATGAAGTATCCACTCCACAGCCTTAGAGAGCCAGCACCAGAGTGCACCTGCATATCTGGGCCTATAATACATACTCTAAATGTTTGATGAAGGTGCTTTCTATAGAAATTACCTTTCAGTTCAAGCTTAAATAGGCATAAATTAGAAGGAAAAGGGTAGGCACTTTTAAAGCAGTAATTCAAGTCTTTTTGCCAGAGTTTAATAAACGAAAGAAAAAATTTTATCAGTTCATGTTTGGGAAAATATTTACCAGGCAAATTAGCTTCCATCAAGTACTTCATGCACAACATGTCTGGATGGAGAAAGCAGCTGTCTGTTATATCTGGAAAACGAGGCAAGTCTAAAAAAGCCGCAAGTTCGAGCATTTTGTTGTGTACTTCTTCATACACAGGCCAGGACTGAAAAAACAAGGTTAGAGGGTGTTATACATTTGTCCTATTACCGCATTTGTTACACATTTTAAGTTAGTTATCGGTGTTAAATCCTGTATTGTTTAATCCAGAATTATTTATACAGACTCTTTTAGCGCTCTCTATGACTAAACACACATGCAACAACAGAGCCAGACTGCAGTACTGCAAAGTAATTTTAAAGCCTGTGAGACATATAAGGAACAAACAGAAAGTTGCTTCAGACCTGTAATGAACTCAGTACCTTTTTTTTGTAATTAGTATGTCTCCAGATGCTCCAAAACTGAAAGAGCATTGGAAAAAGAAAAAAAAAAAACCAAACATAAATACAGGTATAATTGACGGTGAAGTCTCTAAAAAGCTACGAGATCACAGAACCACAGAAGGGCAGACGTTGGCAGGGACTGCTTGAGACCATCAGGTCCAAGCCCCGGCTCGGGTCAGCTCGAGCAGGCTGCCCAGGACCACGACCAGTCAGATTCGGAGTGCCAACACGGATGGCAGCTCCACCAGGTCTGTGGGAAATCCGCTCCAGTGTTTCTCCGCCCTCACTGCACAAAAGAAAAAAAATTTTTTAGTTTTCCTTAAGCTTAAATGGAATTTCTTGTGTTTCAATTTGTGCCCATTTCTTCTCATCCTGTCACTGGATACCACTGAGGGGGATCTGGGTTTTCTCCTTTGCACTCTTTGTGCAGGTATCACATCATACCCGCCCTGAGCCTTCTCTTTTCCCTCTCCAGGCTGAAAAGTCCCTGCTGTCTCAGCCTCCTCTCATTTGTCACATGCTTCACTCTGTCATCTTCATTGCCCTTTACTGGACTCACTCCATTATGTCCATACCTCCTCTGTACTGGGGAGCCCAGAACTGGACCCAGCACTCCAGAAGTGTCTCACCAGTGCTAAATACAGAGCAAGGATCACCTCCCTTGATCTGCTGGCAATGTTCTGCCTAAGGCAGCCTAGGATGATGGTGGTGGTCTTTGCACAAGGGCACGTTGCTGGTTCACATCCATCTTCACAGCATCTCATCCACCAGAACTCCCAGGGCCTTCTCTGATAAGGCAGTCAGTGCCCCAGCCTGTGCTGCTGTCTGCCGCCATTCCTCGATGCCTATTTATAGATTTATTTATCATACGTATCGGTTCATCATATGTATGAATAAGAACGTGACCAACACAGGGATGACAGGCCTCTAGTTCCCCAGATCCTCCCTCCTGAAGACAGGGGAGACGTTTACTTTCTTCCAGTCCTCAGGAAACTCCCCCAATCACTGTGACTTTTCCAAAATTGTTGACAGTGGTCTCACAATGGTGCCAGCCAGCTCCCACAGCACTTGTGGCAGCATCCCATCATCTCCGTTCGGTCCCCATGTGTTGCCTGGTCTAGTTGAGAGGTGGTGTCCCTGCCCATGACAGGGAGGTTGGACTAGATAATCTCTAAGGTCCCTTCCAGCCTAGGCCGTTCTATGATTCTATGATTCTATGGTCCAGGAACCTTCGTATGTCCAGTTTGTTTATACATTCCTTAACCTGCTCCTTTTCCGCCAAGGCTAAGTCTGCCTTCTCCTAGACTTTCCCACAGGTTTCAAGAATCTGAGATTGCTGAAGGTCGCTCTTATCAGCAAAGACGGAGGCAAAACAAGTGCATTCATGGCCTTAGTCTTCTCCTTGGTCTTCGCAACCATGTCCCCATTCCCACTCAGCAGCAGGCCCACGTTTTCTAGAACCTTCCCACAGAATGTCTACTATAATTTCACTTAAAAAATAAATTCCGTATTTGCATATTTATTAATGAAAACAGATCTGCAATATTCTTTTCATGACTATTGACTGCATGAAGAATATTCTCCCAATTTCTACTGAGGTTTTCCTGCTCGAGGAGAATGCAACTTCGAGACAGATTTTGACATGCTTGTTCACAATGAACTCAGCAGGTTTGCATAAGCGTGAACTGTCCGATTTGACCCTCATTTCTTAATACCTGGACTGTTTCATTAAACATTCTTAATTCTCTATATTTGAAGTGATACTTGAACTGACCCCTTAAAGCGGTAACTTTCAGTTGTTCAGGCTACTTTATCATTTTAAACAGGTAACAATCCATGCTTTCTCTGCTTTAGTTGGTGATTCTAATTCAGCAGAGCACTTTATCAGGTATTCATATTTTATCAAACGAATTTGTGAATAAGGTGCTTGAATAGGAGTTTAGCAGGGGTTTACACTTTGTGTAACCATTCAAAATTTTCCTCAATAAGAGTGAATTAAGCCTCCCTTTTTTTTTTTTTACAGACCAGATTAAAACTAGAGCAACCATATTTACAACAACAGCAAGACTGATATAATATGGTTTTATTCAGTCATTTGGTTTCATCTATTTTAATATAAGCTATGTAGCCAATGCTCAGGTTTCATCGTTTTGAATGATTGCCAACACTTCCTCTTTTTTTAAATGATCTCCCCTCAGACTGCAGTTCAGACTTGCTTAACTGCGTGAACACATGCTTAAGCAAATGAATAATTTTGCTGTCACTTACTATTATACATGCAACTTTCCGTAACAGTTAGGAAGTTGTATCCTGTTCATTGTATTTTCTAAACAGTGTTAAAAATTGGCTTAGGCTGCTACAGGATTATCTTGAGGAACAAGAAAAACACGCATTACCGGACTTCTACAGAAGACCAGGCTCACAGTAGTGAGTTAAGAGTAACACTCTTAAAAAGCAGTGTTAAACTGAATACCAAAACAATCTTGGAACAAAATCTGAATCATATGTTAACATCTATTGAGCGTATTTGGAGAAAAATTGAAGTCCCAGATCATTCAACTAAAAGCCTTACAGAAATACTATTCCTAATTAAATATAAAGGAAATACATTTTCCCCTTTAATGAAAAGCAGCTGAATTAGTAGCTTCTTAAAAACATATGACAGATGAAAATAAATTAAGACACTGGGAATTCAGCCACTTGAAACATTCAGCTATCACCACTGAAGTTGTCTGAAGGGTCTAATTTAACACAGAGGTAATTTAAGGAAAGGGAGAACTGAAGGAGGACACCTGTATCACCTTATACTTGAGCTTCTCCCACCGTAACAGAGTAAGGAGAGAGTTCTAGCCAAGGTACGAGTGAATCGTCCCTTCCTCTGCATGCCCAACACTGACTTTTGTCGCAAAGCTTTTGTTAGCAATTCAGAGAAGACAATTCAGTTCTTTTACAAAATGGCTGGAAAAAGCTTTGCTTTGCAATGACAACTGATGTTTTCCTTTTATCTGAAGAGCAAACACAAGCGGTGTTAAAACTACAAATAAAAATTAATACTGAGAGCTATCCCTTGGCTTATTTTAAAAAAAGAGTGTTAACAGACAAAAACTGTTCTTAGTTGATGTGTGTTCATAAAGAGATGTAAACACAATTGGGACAGAAGGATGTACTAATCCACCACGAAGATCAACCGAATCAATTGCTACTCTCCAGGGCTTAACCTCCTGAGCTCCAAAACTTTCACTGTAGTATTCATGTTTCTACAACACAGGGCTGAGTCATGATGGTGCAAGTGAACGAAACATCACGCTTCCAGGAGTACGCAGTAATCTCTTGAACTGCAAACTGCAAGCGTAAGCTGGATCCAACACGAGATCACATCTTGGTAGGACACATCAGAGCAAAGGGCTGAAGGCTGAAAAGAGGACTGAGGAGCCTGTAGGCTTACTTCAGTAATCAAGCACTGAGAAATTTTCACTAGTCTCTACAAAGCCTGGTCACAGTCTGTTTAATTCTCAAAGAGCTGTGAGCTCATACAGCAAATCTCTTGTTCTGCAAAGCTTCACGCAGACCAGGAGGGTTAAAACAGAATGAATACCCAATTCCACACGACCAACACAGCAAATGTTAGGACAACATAAAGAAAAGGCAAGATATAGCAGACAAGCAGCCTCAAAAGTAATCGAAGTTATCACCTTTTACCTAGCTATATATCTCTGCCAGAAGAAAAGAACATGATAAAACAAGTTGCAATGAAAGTCCACCAGCAAATCAACTAGGAAAGCAAGATCCAGAGCTGGGGCCTCCCTCCTTCAGGTGAAAAAGCTCGGCCTCCAGCACCCCATGATTAAACTCCAAGGGAGGAGTACTTGGACAAAAGAGGACAGTGTTAGATCATACGCCACACGCTCTCCAAGTATAACTTTCACTTATCCAATCATGAATTGAAAAATTTTGCATTACATATTTTTCAAGTTGTATTTCGGCGCTAAATATTAGGACAACTCCCCTGTCCATCAGCACGTAGAGTTACTGAGCTCTCTCACCTTGTTTCAAGAACCTGAGAAACACTCCACGTGTAAAACTCAGTTACAAACCCTTGAGGGCACTCAATAATTTCAGGAAGCCTGACAGAAAATCCTTCTAAAGTTATGCCACCTGCTAGCCTTTTCAGGTGTTTCGCAAGCTGGGATTTCTTCAAGACTGATCAACAACGCTGACGGTCTATAATTTGTCTAGATTGGGTACAGAGGTTACCAGGAACTTTTCTTAACAGATTTGTCTTAGAAAAATCTTTGTATCTTATTCCCACACATGACAAATATGGTGACTTCAGGTCTTCTCCAGAAAGACTACAGAAGATTACTAGTAGTACTTGAGAATACTATTTTATTTTCTTTTCTTCCCCCCTGCCAATTCCAGGTAAGCACAGGAGAACAAAATAATGCTGTCAAGTCGGTGAAGAAGCATCTAGAACAAGATTTTCATGATGATAAATATTCATAGACTATTTAAATCAGCTGCCTTTATCTGTCAAAGTTACATGTAATTTTTCACCTGTATTAGAAAAGAACAAGCTGGTTTTCAGAAGCAGATGAGCCAAACTATTAGCATTATAATCAGATCACAGTAACAGGTAATTGTTTGGGGTAAGCCAAGATTGCAGCCTCTCCTACTTGTTTGGACAATATCAGAATGTTGCTGATCAACAAGTAGAGAACAGTAT